GACTCTTTGGTCTAAAGGCTACTGTATCCTTAAGAAGCACGAGGTTTTGAGTTAGTTCCACTGCAACTAATTACAGGTGGCGAGAGATTAACCGTTGAAATCAGAACCACGACGTGTAATCCAACGGTTACTGAAACTCCTTTCTGATCATTGCAAAAATTCACCCCTCCATCTTTGTTTTAGTTACATTTTTGCCCTTACCTATTTTAAGGAACGTTTAACACCCTTGCCTTGTTTTTTTATCAAACAATCGTATTTTAATTACCATATTGGTATTATAACCAAGTGGTAATCCTAGTTTTTACCACCCGCCTAATTCCCTAGAATGAGTATAGCCGTCGAATTACTAATTCCCTAGAATGAGTATAGCCCCACTTACTGGATTATTTTTCTCTTTTCTTTTTCGGTGTTGAGGTTTCGTCGTCAGATTTGCTTTCTTACTGGATTATTCGATTTGGTGCACGGCGTTCAAGGACGGTGCCTCCTTCATAAGATCTGATCTTCCGACTCTGGCAAGCGTCAGAGGTTCAAGCTTTTTATCAGATGTGGTATCCTCCTTCCTCTTCCGATGGTGCATTGGCTACACACTCTTCACACGGCAGTTTGCGGCTTTGTTCAGTGACCAGTTTGTTCTAGGTTGCGTCTCTAAGGCCGGTGGTGGCGAATCTTTGCGATATGATCTATTTCATCCTTGGATTTCAGATATGTGGCAAGATTGCAGATGTGTTCATAACCTCTTCCGAAAGCTTTTTTTGGTCGTTAGTGTCGTTGTCGATGTTTGTGTGCACGTGCTTGTGTGTGCGTTTACTTGTGTTTTATTTCAAGCTTTGTATGATGGGATTCATTGAGCAATTTAAATTTTCGGTTTGGAATGGCTACGGTAAAAGCTACGGTTGAATTTTGGTGTCGAATAGAGACGGCGGATCTGTTTTGGCGATTTTTGCGTTTCCGTGGGAGATAGTTTTTGTCGCTTTCACAAGCTCGAGAATGGCGACCGGAGGCGGCTTCTCTCGCTGTCCGTACAAACTCTTATGCTACACGATAGTGGAATTGTATGTTGAAATGGTTGCGTTTTTGTGTTATGATCTCGGAGAAGCTGTAGGCGCTACCACTATTGAGGTTTTGAAGCTTGCCTGGAGTGGAAGGTACTCGTGGCAGGACTAGAGTTCTAAAAGCTGTGGCAACACACAAATTTCTGAACTTAGGTGTTCAGAAAAGATGACTCGAGTTTCAGTTATTACTTGTTTTTTGTATTTTTGCTTTCTAAGTTATCTTTGTAATTTCTGTCAAAATTTGAAAACGGAAAATATAACCTACCAAAAGGATGTATATATAGAAAGTGATATACTGTCATTAACTACTATGTAATACTCAATCGAGTGTACTCAATATAATACATAACATTCTCTATAAACTCCGTTACGAAATAGCAAAAAAATAGCCTATAATCCCATCAGAAAAGTTTGAC